CAAAAAAAACCCCTCTCAGGACATCTGAGGACCATTGGAATTCTGATTCTTAAAGTGATAATAGTAACAGCACATAGTTCAGAGCCAGTGGATAATATGCAATGTAACTGAACCTTGGTTGGCGCACAATGGTCACACTAGCTGTGGGACAGGTACACCTGCATTAGTGACTAGAGAAGAAAGCCTTTGAGAAGTTCTACTTGGGTAGGTGGTCTGTAGCTGTAAAACCCTACACCCAAGTTTCCTTCATGTGTCCCCTATTTGATTTAATACCCATTCTCAAGTGATCATTCCATAGTCTCTGTTAACCTTTTTGATCATCTTAACTAGAACACCAGGGTATTCATTGTCAATTTTATATCTTTGGTTCTCAGAAGGCAAAAGAATGGTTTTCAATAATCTGGTCTGCTATCTCTTAAAACTTTCTAAATACTTGTCTCCTTTCATTTGCTAACCTTTCCGTTCGGTTTTCCTTATTGATCTGTTGATGTAAAATTAAAATAATAAACGTTCAAAGCTACATGGTTGTTACTCTAAATTGTGTGTATAACTCAACATAGTTAACATGGTCTTTTTTGGTCTATTTCACATGTTATTAATTACTCATAATGTTTATAATCATTCCCATGATTATTGTTGGCAGCATCTTTTAAAAGTTGAATTTTGGAAGCTTATAAAGCAGGTGACGCTTTGTGTTGAAATTTATTCTAGATATGTAGAAGAATTGCAGCAAAGACTCACCAAGGCCAACGATAATGCAAATATCCTACAAAAGAGCATTGGGGAGGTGACCCTCAGAGCTGAACAGAGCCAGCAGGAAGCAACCAAAAAGCACGAAGAAGAAAAGAGAGAATTGCAGAAGAAATTGTCGGACCTGGTATGGAGAGAATGAGTGAGACTGTTGGCAGGGGCCAAAGGGGCAGCACAGTCATCTGGATGACTTCTTTCCTTTCTGTAGGAAAAGAGGATGGAAGTGAGCCACAACCAGTGTCAGGATCTGAAGACCAGGTACGAAAAAGCTAGTTCTGAATCGAAAACCAAACATGACGAGGCTCTGCGGGACTTGCAGAAGGCACTGCAGGACATGGAGAGGAGGCTGAAGGCAGCGCAGGAGGACAACAGTGACCTGTTACAGGAGATGGAGGAGCTGAAAAAACAAGCTGACAAAGCCAAAGTAGGTTTGCGGGGGTCATGGTCCCCTTGAATGCCAACTCACTTTAATGCTAACCCTGTGAGTGCCAGCCAGGGTGGTGAATGGCCTCTGTTAGAGCTTAAAGTGATTTGTCCAATCTGCCAATCCTTCCCAGCAGCGGTGGTGGCCGTGGGCCTTACCCCACAACAGCTCCGTCAAGCTATCACCCCTCTGCCCTTGCTGAGCTCTGTCTGTCTGCTCGCCCTGGACGCTATAATATGGATAAGCATGGGCCTCTGATCCTGCTGGTGGTTCTTGGTTAACTAGCTACCGGAGAGGCCCACGGAAGCCAGTGAGCAGGGAAACAGAACTGGAGAGGATGCCTAGGAGGAGGAACAGAGCCCTGGTAGGAGGAATTGACTAGCATCCTCTAGACATGGGCTTCTTGATGTTCCCAGGGAGGGACTCCAAACTTATTGACTAGGAAGCTGGTTTCAAGGACAGTGAAGAAACCTTATACACGCCAATAAAGTAGACCTTGGTTAATTGAATTTCATTTTGTGGTATCCCAGGATGAGTTTTGACACTGACTGCATGATTTTTAGCCTACCTGCCATATTTCCTCCCTTGCTTTCATAGCACACTATATATAAAGTTAAAAGCGATTTTGTTTTTGGGTGCCCTGAAGTCAGTGCTGACCCAGAGCAACCCTATATGTCAGAGTAGAACTGCCCTACATGGTTTTCTGACTGTAAACTTTACAGGAGCAGATCACCAGCTCTGTTCTCCTGAAGAAGCCCCTGGGGAGTTTGAACCACTCACCTTTTAGTTAGCAACCTAAGCCACATGGTTGTGCCACCAGGGCTCCTTAAAATAGATCTTAACAAATTTAAGAATTCCTTTATTGCTTTTATTGCACTTTTAGCCCATGACCTGGAAGCCTCTGCTTTAGCTCATCCCTCCTCCCCGCCCCTGCCCCCCACAGCCCCCAGAGATCTCACAACGTTTGATAATGTGAGCCAGTTTGAGAATGTTATAATTGGTAAAAAATATTTTAATTGCATCCATCTTATATGTAAAAGATGCCCACATTTTCCCTCATCCACATGCTGGCCATCAAAACACTCTCCTCATTTGACAACCCCCTGCCCCTCCACCTTCCATTTTCATGAGAGGATCAGTTCCAGGTAAACTTGGTGCTTTATCTGAACAGACACCATTTTTCAGTGTTTCCTGTAAGATGTGTCAGCCCAACCACACACAGCATCCAGGCAGTTTGCTTTCATTTTGTTTGTGGGTTTATTTTGTAAGGGTTATTGGCGAACGTGACCAAGATCATACCCCCTCCAGAGACGTCTGGATTGCAGGGGTTGCAGTTCATCAGCAACACCGCCTCACAGATTGTGCTCTTTGTGGGGACTGATGAAGCCTGTAGCTGTCTTCCTTAGAAAAGTTACCTGTGCGCTCCATGGTCCCGAATTCCAGGTTCTTGGATCCCACAAAGCCTCTGTGTTCACTAGTTCAAGAGCCAAAGGTCTATAGCAGAGCTGCACTGTCCACTGTGGTAGCCACTAACCATGTGTGATCATGCCCATTTAGATCAGTTACACAGAACTTAGTGTAACATTTAGTAAAATTGCAAACTCATTTCCTCTGTTACTCAAGCTGTGTATAGCAGCTGGTGGCTACCATACTAGGTAGTGAAGATACAGCACATATTCAGAGATTAGACATACTGGTCAAATGATCTTAGAAATCAATACATTTGTAAAAATCCATTCATTTTGGCCACCCAAGCCTAGCATCTTAGATTGTATTTTTAATAGAGTATATGTGCTATCAAGTCTAAATTGGTCTCAGACCAGTGGTTCTCATTCAGTAAGACCTAGTTAATTTGAAAAGCATTTTTCCCCCTTCCTTTATCCATATTTTTGGTGTAAAGAGCACTTACTTTTTTTTTTAGTAGTTCTTTGACTTGTGTTTGGAAAGTAATTATTCTAGGAATCATTTCTATGGTAGAAATAATGAGAGTGGCAGCAAAGAATCTTGTTACCTTATGTCACAATTTAGCTACTGTTTTTATACTACTAGCTTTCAGGAATAATTTCTCAAGTTGTCTTAAAGATGAAGTAAACAAGTAGACAAACTCTTTGTAAAGATAACTACAAATCATTGTCCTTTTATGGGCTCTCTTCTTCCCCTACTTACCCAAATCATTTCTGCATGTAGCTTTTTTTTTTAATTAAAAAAAAATCATTTATGGTTTAGGTTGCATTAAGTAATTTGGGCTTGCTTTTTTTGTCTGCTCTATTTCATGTTTTTTCCCCCATTTTTTCCACCTTTTGTTTCTGTAGTCGCTAAGCTATTTGTTAACATCAACCAAAAAAGAGATTGAACTAATGTCAGAAGAGCTGAGGGGTCTGAAATCAGAGAAGCAGCTCCTTGCTCAGGAAGGAAATGCTTTAAAATTAGAGAAAGGCTCCCTTTTATCAAAGCTGATGGAAGTGGAGGCCAGGATTACTCTCCTTCAGGAAGACCAGCAGAAGCTGTGGTCAGTGAATGAATCTCTTAACTTAGAAAAGGAGACAGCTTTAGAAGAAAAGCTAGAGGCCGAGAAGCAGTATCAGCAGGTACTTCTCAATAAAGAAGCTCTGGCTGTTGAGAGAGAGAATTTGCTTAAAGAAATCAGTCTTGCACAAGAAAAGCTCTTGAAGATAAGTATGGAAAATGACTCTCTGCAAGCGTCCAAGTTGGCCTTGCAGACGCTCACAGCAGAGCTTCAGTTCAGCCAAGAAACACTGATTGCTGCTTCTGAGAAGAACCAGGAAGAGAAAACCCACCTGGAGGATCAGAACAAGAGACTTGCCACTGAGAACCTTCTCTTGGCTAAAGATAAAGACGAAATTATTAAAAAGCTTCAGAGCGCTTATGAAGAGCTAGTCAAAGATCAGAAGGCTTTGGTACAAGAGATTGAAGATCTCACAGCTGAGAAAAAGTCAGCTTTAGAGAAACAGTCCAATCTTGACACCACGTGTCTGACTTTAAAGCTAGAGAGAGATAGTCTCCTTCTGAACAACAAAGATCTGCAGTCTGAGAAGGACATGTTGCTTCAAGGTCAGGAGACGCTGAACGCCAACCTAGAGGTCACCCTCGAGGCCAAACAGTTGCTCAGCACAGAGGCCAGTGAGCTGCGCACACAGCTGGACGATGTTCGCAAAGCTCTGCGAAAGGGAGAGCTGGAGATCCTGCAACTCCAGGCCACAAACACCAGCCTCACGAAGCTCCTGGAGGAAATTAAGACCAGCCGCGAGATCACAGACTCTGAGTGCATCCAGCTTCTGCACGAGAAGGAAACCCTGGCCTCATCCGAGAGAAGGCTCTTGGCTGAAAAGGAAGAGTTTTTAAATGAAAATATGCATCTCACTGAAAAACTCAGCAAATGCTCCAAAGAGATTGTCCATCTCGAGATGAACTTGAGTGAGAAGATTGCGTACCTGACCTCAGAGAAGGACATGACCTGTCAGAAAATGGCTAAGCTCAAAAAGCAGTATGAGAGTCTCTTGAGAGAAAAATCTACACTGGAAATGCAAAATGGAGATATACTGGCAGAGAGAGAAAATGCCATGAAAGCCCTCGGAGACCTTAAAAGGAAATATGATCAAGAGTCCGCAAGCAAGAGAATCATTGTGCATGAGAAAATGAAACTACTAGGCAGCCTGGATGCCCTGAAGAAAGAGCTGCAAGAAAAAAAAAAGGAAAACCAGGAACTGTCAGCCAGCAAGTATGATCTCTCTTTGGTGCTGCAAGAGGCTCAAAATGCTACCAAGAATCTAGAAGAAGAACACGCCAGCATCTTGCAAGCCAAGGAGAGTCTGGACGTTGAACTTCAGACTTGTTGTTCTGAAAAGAACATACTGATAAGGGATGGGCTGAACCTGCAAAATGAGTGTCAGAAATTAAACGAGGACCTTTGTGCAATGCAGCAGTCTTTGCTCTTGGAGCAAGAAGCCCGAGCGAAGGAAAAGGAGGCCTCCCTGTATGAAAGCAATAAGCTCCATGGGAGAATTGTGCTCTTGGAGCAGGATGTGCAAGAGCTAACAGCGTGCACTAAGGAGCTGCAGTCTGAGAAGTGTGTGCTGATCCAAGAGAGGACCAATGCAGAGCAAAAGGTAGCAGAGATCATTAAGGAAAAGCAACTCTTGAGTGCTGAAACCGCTCAGCTCGCTGCCAACATCGAGACTCTGAAAAGTGATTTTTCCACCTTGTCCAAATCCAAGTTAGAGCTTCAGGACCTGCACAGCTGCCTTACCAAGATCCTGGAGGACCTCCGCCTGAACCACGAGGTGGCGCTGGCCGAGCGCGCCAAGGTGGTGCAGGACAACAGTAACCTAGTGGCCGAGAAGAGAGAAATGATGCTGGAGAAGGACGAGCTCCTGAAGGAGAAGGAGAAGCTGGCGGAGAACTACTTCACCCTCCAGAAAGAGATTGGCCAACTGGCCAAAACCAACAGCCACATCTCAACGAACCTCCTAGAATTGCAAAACGAGAACCATACTCTGAAGAAAGACAAGAGCAAGCTGACTCTTAGAATTAGAGAGCTCGAGACGCTTCAGACACTTACGGTAAAGAGAGGTCCAAGTCCCGAGTGCCAGGTACCACTCACCCTGGGCACTCTCTTTAGTGGCTTAGAGGCTTTTTCTTCATTTCTACACATGTCACTCCACCCCTTCAAGTCAGACGCTTCTCTGTCTCAGTCTGTTTGTGCTACGTTGTAAAAAGGGCAGTTCTTTACTAAATGTCTAATGGCAGTAGCTTCTACCTATTTGAAAACATTTTAAACTGTGAATAAAAAGGATATGTATTTTCATCTGAGGAGAACTTTTGAGGAGAGGTAACAGCAGTTCTTAAAGGCTTAAGAATCACTGTAAAATGGCACGTGGGGAAATGGCATTTTATATGTGGATTTGACTTTATACCCATTCGGAGTGGGAAGACTCCAGTGAAATCTCTATGGCTGATAACAGGTTAAAAATGTTAACTTCCCATAAACTTTTTTTTAATCATTTTATCGGGGGCTCGTGCAATTCTTATCACAATCCATACATACATCCATTGTGTCAAGCACCTTTGTACATTTGTTGCCACCATCATTCTCAAAACATTTGCCTTCTAATTGAGCCCTTACCCATAAACTTTTTGACAAATAAGCTTTATTAGGCCCCATGAAATTGTAAGCAAGTGCCTAAAAATTGTCTTATGTCCAGAAGCTCATGCTTTGCCTCCATAGACTGTTATCCTTTTTATTCACAGCCCTGTTGTTGTACATCACCCACAGCCTCTCTGATGGAATTTCCCTTTCAGTACTTCTCATGAAACACCCGGGCCTAGATAATCTTTGTTACACTTGCCTAGATAATATTTATTTGGAAAACTGCCAACCTAAATTCTGAGATGTTTAAAAACCCTCATTGAGAATAGCAGGTATAGCGATTGAAAACAATAGACGTCGAAGTAGAGTAGGGGAAAGTTCAGCCATATGAGGGTTTGTGGGAAAATGGAATGAAAAGGCAATGGAATCTTACCCTCTATCACTGAACATTTTCCTCAGACATAAGCTAAAGAGGACAGAATCATTTGGATCTAATAGGATTAAGGGAGTTCTGATAACACAGACATTCTCGGTGGCAAATGACCAGTGAAAGCCTGGCATGGGCAGGGCTGGGACCTTCCTTTTGATTTAACGTGAAGCACTTCCACGTCTCTGGATTAGCCTGAGGTTGGGGCCTCCCTCACACGCCTGGTGGCTCCCTTACTCACACAGACACTGAGTGAGGAACAGGCTGCATGGTATCATAGCCTGGCCATCCCCCAGCGGTGCTGGTGAGGGTCATTCATGTTTCTGATAGCCCTTTCTTGTGTCCAGGCTGCCCAAAGCACAGAAGAAACCAAGGAGATCATGGAACAGATGACCAAAGAGAAGACTGAGACCCTGGCCTCCTTGGAAGATACCAAGCAAACAAATGAAAAACTCCAGAATGAAGTAATCAGATTTCAATGGCATTTTGTACAAAGAACAACCTACCTATCGACTTCATGGAAGTATTTGATCATTAAGCTGTCTGGTTTTTTGAAGGGTGGCCCTCACACAGGTTTGATGTATGTTAGTAGAGTTGGCTGTACACTGGAACCATGGTAATATCTAATAAAGCTCATTGTTTCCATACTTACTTTAGTAGGATCAGTCAGTCTGGAAACATGGAGGGAAGAGAGCCCAGTAGCATGGCTTTCTAAGATAAGAGCTCAGTGCTAGAAGTGAGGAAAAGACGTCCTGATGGGAGTTTCTAGTTTTTGTATTTGTTATCTTGAACTGCACATATATTTTCCCTCAACTTCTCTCTTGCTTTGAGCCACTTAATCCGTGTCTTGGCTCTGAGTCTAGTGTGGGCCTCTTGGCCTTATCCAGCATGAACCCATCAGTGTCACCTTCCAGAATGGAACACATTTGTAGCATCAAGGTACTTTATTTTCATCCACACGTAGTGTTTCTCACTCTTCTACTCATCCCCAATGCCCTCTCAACACCTACCAATCTTTCCATTTTTTAGGAAAGTTGGTACCTAAATCCTAACCTTGGAAATGCTTCTGTGAAGTTCTGTTGAACTTCATGCAGTTCCTTTGTACACTGACAGACAGGGGAGACATTCAGGTGTTAAAGGAGAGAGAGGGTAACCAAACACGGGAAGACTAGGCCTTCTCATTAAGAAAGGCCAGAGTTTGTCCTCTGTGAAGAGTTTGACATTTTGAAGTAATTTTAGGGTGAATAAACAATTTCATACAGAAAGGAGTACATTGATAGAACTGACAATCTTAAGACATAGGCTAAAAATATAAAAATACTGAAAAAATTGTTGATGGTCATAAAATTAGAAGCTAAAGTAAATGGGAAAATCTGAGGTCATGCCCCTGACTTGAGAGGGGTGGAACCAGAGAATAGTGTCCTCCATATACCCAGAATACAAGGCTTGGATGAATCATTTTTTGGCCCCTTTAGGCTATTGCATTTGTCTTGTTCTTTGACTGTGGGCTATTAAAAGGCCATCAATGAAGTGGGTGGTAGTCAAACTGACCACACACGTTCTAGGATGCCTGAGGGTGGTCTAGGATGCAGCAAGAGCCTCTTGGGCTGCAGGAGACAACTACACAGGTCCTGGGGGCATAGTCTATAATTGAGCTCCTCATCCTGGTGGGGATCCCTGTCCCGTCCCCCTCCCCCACACACACACATCTGGAAGATGACTACCTGCCAGAGCCTGTGGGTAGCCACCCCTCCACTCCCAGGAGTCAGACCATAACCCTTTGGCACCCCCATGGGCAGGGGATGGGTAGGCCTGAGACTGTGTAAGTGCCTGTTGTTCTCACTTCATGGCCTTTGACCTTTCCACCAATTCCTCAGTCTTTCCCCATTTGCAAATATTTTGTGCTAAAGTACTAATTTCTTCAGTGAAGATAACGTCAGTTTGGTACTGGTATTGAAAACTATCCTAAATGTGCCTGATCAATAGGGAAAGAAAGGAATTTTTTTAATAAAGAATAACCCTTGATGATGTCAAGCCTTTAGGTTTCATTTCTTTTGAAAGATTAATTGTACTTGAATAGCAAGTTCAAGGACAGGCCAAAAAATGGAGACCTGTATGTATATCAGGTGAAATAACACTCTTCATTAAATGTGTGTAGCCATTGAATTTGATTTGTTGGCAAGGTCTGACTAAGTATAAGAGAAAGATCTGCGACTTATACAAGACTTTGCATTTGCCATCTTTTTACCCAGCTGTCTCTTGTTTGCTTTTTGCAAGTGCCTAATCTCACATCTTTAAAATATGTGTTTCCATGAATAATTTGTCTATCCAGATGTGCCATTGGAAAATGGAATAATTTCATTACGTCTTTTTCTCTTGGTCTCTAAGTTGGACACACTTAAAGAAAACAACTTGAAAAATGTGGAAGAACTGAACAAATCAAAAGAACTTCTGACTGTAGAGAATCAAAAAATGGAAGAATTCAGGAAAGAAATGTAAGTATCTCCCGAGAGAGCAATTATGGCACTTTCTTCTTTGAGTTGCAAAAGTGAAAACAACGCTAATTATTTAAAAGAATCTCAGGAAAGAATATAAAGAATAATTTGTGACCCTCCTTCCCTGGAGTCCTCTATTGCATACCCAAGAAGCAGCCATTATAATCACCATTAAGTCCAACTACCACTCAGGTAACAGATCAGCATGAAATGGGGGTTCAAATGGCTTTGTAAGGTCTTATGAAATTACAGGTAGAATCGGTTTTAAAATGGTTGTTTACAAAATAATCAATCTTAGCATTTGGCGCCATCAGATCCTTTATTAAGGCATCTCTCAAAACTCTTTTTAAAAAGCAGCAAATAACTTTCAGAGTGATTAGTAATCTTGATAATAGCACTACAGCATTCTGGCATGAATATTAATGGCCACAATTTTGAAAGATTCTGTACAATTAAGGTTTACATCAGTCTGCTACCAGATTCCCAAAGGAAGAAGGGCCCATGCTCCCGAAGGAAGGAGGGCTGCACGGGTCCTTGACATTCCCATTTGATCACTGGAGATTAGCATTTATCTGGCATGTTAAACGATGGTGACCACATAAATCTCATCTTGATTTGCGTTGTTAACTGCACTATCAGTCAGATGATATTAAGAAATTAAAGCGATGGAATCTGGGGAGCACTTGAGTATGTCCTTTGCACCAGGCACAGTTAAGCTCAAAAGCACACAGAGATGAATTACTCATGGTCCCTGCATCCCCAAAAGTCTGTATTTGTCCATTCTAATGAAACAAAAGAGATTCAAGCAAAAACAAAAGCATGAGTTCCAATCTGTTGCTCAGTAACCATTCTCTGTACTATTACTCGTTGAGCTTAAACTAGCGCTTGTCTTGTTTTTTGAGGGCTTGCTCTTTTTTTTCTTTTCCTTTCTTCAGGGTTCTTAAGACCCTGCTAGGAAGTGTGATAGCTGAGCCTCTCCCCTGAGGAGATCCCAACTCATGATACTGATGACTGGTCCCTTCCTCAGTCTTAGTTTGATGTTTTCGCTACATGAGGCGTAAGGAGCCTTGGTGACACAGTGCTTATTAGCTGCTCACCAAAAGCTCCAAGGAGAATGACAGGGCAGTCTGCTTCTGAAAGACTGCAGTGTGGATGCCCTAGGTATAGTTCTTCCCCGTCTTACGGGAGCACTCTAAGTCAGAATCAACTCGACAGCTCCAGCTGTAGATAAGATTGAATCATTTCCCAGCAGTTTGTGTTTTCCAAGTTGAGTATACACCGAGTTATATCCTGAGAGGGTGGGTGCACTTACAGGTTAGGACTTTTCTCTCATGGAAACCTGGAACATTCAGGAGTACTAAGTGGACTACAGTTGATTTCTGTCATCCTGGCAGCTGGGGTGAAGGGTTCTGAGAGGCAGGAGAAGATCTTGGCCTCAGCCTTCCCCTGCAGTGATCCACCACCTCTGAGATCTCAGGCTACACTAGGTAACAAAAGGCACAGGGCCCCAGTGGTGCTCGTAGAGAGCTCAAGATCAAACTTGTGGTCCCTGCTGCACTGCTTAGCAGTCTTTCAAGATTTGGCCTTCCATTGTGCTCAAAGAGAGAAACACCCAGGGTAGCATTTTTAGGTGTACCATCCACTGACATGGATGGCATTTACCACGTGAGATAACTTTCACCATTGTCTTGCTTTTGAAATGTTTTCATCCTTCCAAATAGAAATTCAGTGCCTATTAGGCAACAAGTCCCAGTGCCCCTGCCCTCCTAGCCCCTGGTAACTTAGAAGTCTTTTGGGATGGTCATTATATTGATCGAGTATTTAAGTAGGGTCACCTTTCAAAATCCTTCTGGAATTAATTGCCTATTCCAACTAGTGTGAAGTTAATTTTGCCTCTGTTAAAAGATCGATTGTTGTTCCCCCCTTTAACTTATTAATCTATTTGGCATGGTTACTGGCAGACTGACCTATGCCATGGGATTTTCAGTTTCAAGATGACTCATCACACAGAGAAACTCAAGTTAATTCCAACTCATAGCAACACTGTAGGACAGAGCAGAACTGCCCCAGGGGTTTCGGAGGCTTTAAATCTGTAGGGGAGCAGAAAGCCTCATCATTCTCCTGAGGAGCGACTAGTGGTTTTGAATTACTGACCCTGTGGTTATCAGTCCAACTCTTACTCTACGTTTTTTGTAGGTATTTTCAGAATTATTTCGTAGACTGTATTCCCAAAGTTGGACTAATAGACTGCCACTCTTTATGGGAGTAGAACACCTCATTGTTTCCCCAAGGGACTGTTGGTGGTGACCTTTAGGTTAACAACCCAATGAGCAACCCGCTATGCCACCAGGGCTTCCTCTGCTGGTCGTGGTGACCCCAATTCTCGTGGTCTTACTGCGGACCTTACTAGGGACTGGCTCTTCTTTTCACCTCCTGCAACATCGAATCTTTTCAGATGTCAATGATGATAGTATTGGGGAGGCTTGAATGAGAAAATGTGCATAAAAACATTTAAAAAATTTTTAAACAGTAAAAATTATATGTTAATACATTTTACCTATTCTTATACATTTCACCACGATTGTTTCTTTCGCTGCTTGCCTTTTCTTTCTTGTGGACTTAATACAGCCAAAAAAAACGACCTGCTCCTCTGTCTGGCCACACAAAGTCCGAGACCAAACAGCCCCTAATGAACGGAAGTGACTCTCTGGGAAATAAAACATTGGTTTGAAAACAGAGGCCCTATCTTAACTAACACCTCTGATTGGTCCCAAGCAACAGTGACCTTTGGCCGGAAGATGAACTTCAGCTGTGACAAATTTCATGATGCTAAATTTCCCTTGGTTTTTTTTTTTTTTTTTTAATGTCTTCTTCTCTGGCTATATCAACATCTGTGTGAAAAGTCTGATTCAGTGTGTGAGAAGAATTTAAATTTAGGATCTCTGTTCCCCTATATCTTCACGAGGTCATTCCAGTGTGCAAACCATAGGTGGGTGGACAACTTTGGTTATCAGCAACAAAATCGGTGGATGGACAAGTTCAGATATCAACACAACACAAGCGGACCAAGTGCCGCCAGCCACCCTGCAGACCATCTGAGTTAAGAATAGATGAATTCATGCCTCAGCAGATGGTTACTCCCTGATGGCTTGATTCAGAACTGTCAGAGCCATGCACCGCAGCTCCCGAGGAAGGCTGAATTGCGTTAAAACCATCCAGGGCTTAAAGCAGCCCAGTTACCAGAGAGAACACTTTGAATAGCCAGTGGGTAATGAAATTAGGATGGATATGTGGGACTTCTTTTAATACGGGGCAGATGATTAATTAACATATTTCTCCCGGTCTATTTTACAGGCTGATATGCCTTAATTTTGTTTGGTTGTATTGTAGTCTTATTTGCTTCTTTTACTTATGAGTTATGGAGGAAAATATAAAAATGAAATAATTAGAAAATACATTTCCTGTGGGCATTTCACATGTAGTTACCCTAAAAATACATTCAGATTCACATCACCACCACTTGACTCTTGACAGACACTGGCAAGCAGGATCATTGTATTGTTATTTTTTTGTCATTTAAAAAAAGGATGACAGATTAGTCTGCTAGAACAGAGAGCCTGACAGCCAATTAAATCTCTTTGTTAATGTTAGTGTCACAGTCCAATGGGAGTATGCTGGGGTGGTGGTGGTGGTGGTGGGGTGCTGTGGGCTGTGCTGACCTTTCATTCATCTTGTTTTCTGTGGTGACATTCCCTTCTGTCAGGGAGTGCAGTCAGTGTGTGTGGTGGAAGGAGGGCATAGAGAAAATGTCATGGGGGGACCCTCCCCCTGAGAGGTTGTAGCCACTTAGTCCCGCCTGCTTGTCCATCATCCTCCCAAACCAAGCCGATGGCCATCCAGCTGATGCTGACTCACAGGCCAGAGCACAACTGCCCCACAGGATTTCCCAGAGAGCTGACAGGCCGCAGCTTTCTCCAGAGGAGGAGTGGGTGGGTCCGTTCTTCCAACCTCGTGGCTCACAGCCAAGAGCTTTAACCACTGTGCCACAGGGGCTCGCAATACATCCTCCTTCTCCTGTTGTTATAGATCCTATCAGGCACGTGACCTAGATATATTTTCCCCGGTGCTGTGGAGCTGGTTGTCTCCCCCAGTTTCCTTGCCTGTCTTGTTTCTATGGTAACCCTGCACTCACTGTCTTTGCAGAGAAACCCTAAAGCAGGCCGCTGTTCAGAAGTCCCAGCAGCTCTCAGCACTGCAGGAAGAGAACGTCAAACTTGCAGAGGAGCTGGGGAGGAGCAGGGACGAAGTCACAAGTCATCAAAAGGTCAGTGGGCCTCCAGCAGGGCCTCTCCTGCCCCTGCCTGCTATTGTCTGAGTACCGGGAGGCTGCTCAGAGATGTGGGCGGGTGGTCAAGTCCTTCCTGGGGAGCATGTCAAGTTACCTGTGTTTTGTTTTTTCTTGTTTGCAAATGTGCTCACATGGGCCTTTGGGCAGGTGTGAATTGACAGGTCCTTACACGGGTGTGAGTGCGCACATACACAAGCACTGGGAACTTGCAAGAAGGTAGAACATTAACTCTTTATTAGATGATGTTGGAGCAAGACATTTAAATGAAGAGACAGTATCTTCTCCCCACTACTGCTTGGACTCCCAAAATAATTTGTTCTCCAGGATTTTTTTTCTTCTTCTTCTTTTCCCTCTTTCATCAAAACTGATTTTAAGGTAACAGCTCTGAGGACTATGGATCTGTTGTGAGGGTTGGCAGCTGTTCAGAAACAGAGCGCTTCTTTCCTTTGAAATTGAGAAAAGAGCTGTTGGGAGCAGTTTTTCCTGGACTCCTGTCTGAGAACACGCATGTGTGCGCTCTTGGCAGACTGGGGCACACCAGGAACCCAGTGAGCAAATCACAGCCCACTTGCTTCTGTCTCCTGTAGAGCTGTCCAACAGTTTCCCAAACACGGAAACGCTGCGGATTTTAGCAAAAGCTGCCTCCTGCTCTTTGCTCTCCTCCAGCTGTTGAATCACGAGTGTCTGTTGTATCTGACCTTGGAGCAGCAGCTCAAAAGGCCATTTTTAAACAGGACTTTGCAGTGTGCCAATTGATTCTTACATTGCATTCAATGGAAAGAAATTGTTCCTCCTGAAACACTTTGCAAACCTTGCTTCACTCACTTGGCTGGAGCACTGTGGGGTAGTTGCAGCTATTGACATGGTGCAATTTGTTGTGAAAACACTTTTTTGGAGCATTGATTTCAAACTTTAAAATCTTCCCGGTTGCATTTGCGGATTTTCTAATTTCTGAAAAGTAATGCTACATTTTCTCCATACTTTCAAGATAATAAAAAACTCAGACTCACTGCCATTGAGTCAGTTCTGACTCATAGCAACCCATAGTGGACAGAGCAGAACTGGCGGGGGTGGGGGGGTAGGGGGGGTAGGGCGTGGTCGGCCCTTACTATATGATGGGCATAGGTAAATGCTATCTACTGCCTTCCTGAAGTCTTTCAGCAAGTCTCTGAGAGGACCCTCTTGTTATCATGCACGTCTGTAAAGTAGGAAACAGAAGCATGAGAACATTTGTAATTTGCTCAGCATCTTTCAGTTAGCCGGTATCAAGCCGGTAGGTCATCTTCTGACCTGGTCAGGAAAAGAAGCCCAACCTGGTGACTGTACTCTTTTTTCATCAGGATGTAGGAAACTGGAGTTCATGGAAAATATCAACTCTTTGACCAAACTAGATTCCTTTTTGTTTTTCCTGGCACACATTATCGCATGTAAAACATCCTGTAACTCTGACATTGTGTGTGTGAGGACTCCCAAGAGACGGGAGTGCTTGTCTCAGTGCTGGTTCGGTTCCCCTCACACACCAGCTCATTTCACTGGCCGAGGTAGAGAGTGGGAACCATCACACCCAGACGGGATTGCAGAAGCTCGAGGGCACGTCATCTGCTCATTTGACGCTGGGACCTGTGCAGAGCTGGTGAGCAGGCTTCTTATCCCGCCATTTCACACTGAGGAGCTTTTAGAGGCAGTGTCTTGTTTACTTGGACACAGGTCTCCAGGGCTCCTCTGGCCCAGCAGCTCTGCTCTCTGAAGAGTGGGACTTTAATTCACTTCCTGTTGAAAGGATTTGGTGGCCTAAAATGTGCATATAACTTTTAAGGGTGTTAGAAAATAGCATCCACCAGAACCAGCTGAGGAGGGAAGAAGGGGTTCCACGAAGAAGGGGTAGCTTTGTGCCCTTTGTAGTTGATGCTTCGTGCTCCCCAGAGAGAAACAAGGGAGCAGCAACTACCACACCACGAGAGTGTGTGACAGAGGCACTTGGTACGAACAGAGATTATGGGCATTCTTCCGTCACAGGTTCCGAAATAGTCCCACTTCAAGGGATTTAGACTGTAATCTTCCTGAAGCCAGCTGCCCCCTCTTTCTCCCTGGGAGCAGCTGGGGGGTTCCAGCTGCTCACCTTTAGGTTAGCACTTGACCTCTGCGCCACCAGGCTTCCTGGACCTTTATTACTGCTCTGTAATCCCCAAGAGCCTAGCAGAGTGGTTACTGTGTAGCATTTCAGAAGAGTGCTGTTACACTCTATGCTTGAGCCAAACTGTTGATTATCAGAAACCCTTATTTTTAAAAATTGTTTCATTTATTTCTTATTGAAAATATAGACAGCATAACATAAAATAAGCCCAACAATGTTTACATGTACAATTCTGTGACCTGGTCTACGTTCTCCTATTGGTGCAACTGTGCTCATCCTCTTTTTCTGAATGGCTCCTCCTCCATTCATATACACTCACTGGCCTCTAAGCTTAGAAACCCGACTTTGTTTGAAACCAGCTTGTTTCTCACAAAAGAATCCAAGTGGGTTTCAGTTTTACTTTTCCTCCTTTTACAGCCACTCAGACCAATGTTTAAATCTGCTGGGTTAGGGGTCTAGAGGGTTTTTAAGGCTGTGAACCTTCTCTCTCTCTTTATTTTAACTTTACTTTATTTAACTTTATTTTCATTTTTTCCCTTTTGTTTGTGGACTATGATACGTACAAAGAAAAACATTCTATGTGGTTGCACAGCCCAAATCAGTGACAGTATCCCATTAATCCCTCTGGCCCCCATGCGTGGTTCTTCCTCTCCCACTCTCCTCCCTCCTTCACTTTCTTGTACCTCCCCCCTCCCTCTTCTCTAAAGCAGCGATTCTCAACTTGTGGGTTGAGACCCCGTTGGGGGTCTAATGACCCTTTCACAGGGGTCATCCGATTCATAACAGTAGCAAAATTACAGTTATGAAGTAGCAACGAGAATAATTTTATGGTTGTGGGGTCACCACAACATAAGGAACTGTATGAAAGGGTCGAGGCATTAGGAAAATTGAGAACCACTGCTCTAAAGTCTTACCCTTTGGTGTGAAGACCATTTTTCTTTTATAATAATGGTGTCAAAATATTTATCTTTATGAAGATGGCTTACTCTACTGAGCATAACGTTCTCTAATTTTGTCCATGTCTTAAGGTGTTTGACAGTCTGGTCATTGTATTTTAAGGAAGCATTATATTCCATTGTGTCAATGTACCGGAGTTTATCCATTCCTCTAGTCAGACAAACCCACCCTACCTTTAAAAAACAATGTTTTATTGTGTTTTTGGTGAATGATTACACAGTAAACTATGATCCAATTTAATATTTTCAATATAGCTTGTTTAGTGACATTAGTTATCTTTTTCTTTTCTTCTTTTTTTAAAGTCATTTTATTAGGGGCTCTTACAGCTCTTTAAAAAATATTTAGGTAACATTTTGTAAGGTAGTCGAGAGGCACCAGAGACCAAACCAGTTGAATTAGAACAAACAGGCTTTATTAGGGAGAAAAACCCAGCCTGGGCGAAGTCCCACAGTCCACAACGTCTGGGCTGGGGGAGTCACACTGCAGGCTACAGGGGTGGTGCTTATACATGGACAGGTATGTCTGGGTTTCTGGAATGTAAGGTGTCTTCCAGGTTCCGAGTGTATTCGTGCCGGGTGCAGAGTGGTGGGCAAGAACAAAGCAGGCACTGAGCCAAATGAGCCGTGCTGGGTGCAGAGCGGTGGGTCGAGAATAAACCGGGCCATTAGCCAGCTCTGGTCAGCTCCGCAGGTGTGTGTGGGAGATTCAAGGTCACTTGCTGCTAGTTGTTTCATCCAGCTCTGGTCAGCTCCGCATGGGTAGGGGAGATTCAAGGTCACTTGCTGCTGGAAGCAGGCCTGGTATTGATCCGGCCATATACATTTTATTTTTTAGCATTTTATTGGGGGCTTCTACAGCTCTTATCACAATCCATCCATCCATCCATTGTGTCAAGCACATTTATACATATGTTGACACCATCATTTTCAAACCATTTTCTTTCTACTTGAGCCCTTGGTATCAGCTCATACCAACCTCCCTCCCTCATTAACCCTTGGTAATTTATGAATTTTTATTATTATTTATTATTTTACATTAGTTACATTTTTCACAGTCTACCAGCGTTCTCTTTAACTGAGTTCTGGTGGTTTTGTTTCTAGTATAAGGAGCCCTGGAGGCATGTAGTTTACAAGTAGGACTGCCACCACAAGGCCAGCAGCTCTAGACTACAGGCTGCTCTGCAGAAGAAAGATGAGGCTTTCTACTCTTGTAAAGAGTTACAGCCTCAGGCGGGGAAGTTCTGTACTCTCATTGAGTCAGAATCATCCTGATGGCAGTGAGTTTCCTTATTGTCCCATTTTTGCTTTAAGTAAATGCTGACCTTTTAGCCTCCTGTGGGTGGTTCTTGTGGAACATTGCACTTTTTTTTTTTTTTTTTTTTTGTGGAACATTGCACTTAAAGGCAATTTCCTTTGTTTTGCATGCCACTCGTCTTATTTTGCTACGAGGTGACCTCAGGGGATAGTGCAGGATCAAGGTTGAAAGAGCATCTCAGGGCAGTCCTTCAGTATTACCTGGTCCAGTAAGTCTGCACTTTTTAAAGAATTTGAGTTAACTTCTCCCCGTCTACCTGTGCCCAGAGAAACTCTATTTTTAAAAAAAGAAATAATTTCATTTGTATCACTATAGTAAACATACAGCGTTTAGTGTTAAAACTAAAACTAGATTGACATGGGGTAGGTTTGTGCTGGCCTAGGTTTTGAGTTCTCTTCTGGTCCCTTGATGTTGGAGCACCATAATTTCTTGGCCATAACTCAGTTGGTTACTTTACCACTGTTTTAATGCATCACTACCACATACTCCTGAAATAGTGAGATTGTTCTTCTATAGATGAGGACATTGAGGTACAAAATTAAAATTATTTACCCAGGACACGCAGCTAGTCAGCAGAGGAACTGAGATTTAAGCTTGCAAACATCTAAATCTGTTTTTCTTATTGCTCTCCTATACTGAGGGGGCAACTTCTTTCTTACTCTGTACTATTCTTTTGTTCTCCAAAAAAACATTTTGTGAATTAGGTGAGGGTTTATTTATGAGGTCATCACTTCTATATTCAACAACTTAAACAACTGATCAGCCCTCCCATTGGCTGTTCTATCCGCCCCCCCTTTTCCTCCAACTTCTCCTTCACCAAAGTTAACACCTCTCTAGCCTCTCACCTCCTGACTTCTACTATAACCACCAAAATATGTTTCCTTCAGTATGAAAACCTTTTCTTAATGTGGGTTTTTAAGTAACAGTGGTCTCATGCGATATTTGTCATTTTGTGTTTGACTGACTTGAGTCTGCAGCCATGTCGTCATTTACAGGTTCATCGTTGTCTTTAACGATGCTTAGGATTCCGTTGTGCGGATGAACCAAACTTTGTTCATCCGTTGTTCTACTGGTAGGCTTAGGTTCTTTCCATCCTCTTGTTCTTATACATAGCACTGTGAGGAACAAAGGTCTGCATGTATCTGTCTGTCTGTGTTCTTTATTTCTGTAGGGTATACACCAAGCTGCCCTATGGTATTTCTATGCCCAAATAATTGAGAGGAAGCACCCTCCCACTTTCAGTCCCACCAGCAATGTTTGAGGATTCAGTCTCTGCATCCTCCCCAACATTTGTTGTTTTCTGTGTTTTTGAACTT